CCGGCGAAAACCTCCAGAACCTACACCATAGGTTGCAGGACTTCATCGCCGTGGCGAAGAACAATACGTCGCCCCAGCGAAACACGGCAGAGCCTACCCGTGGGTGCAGCTCCTCATCGCCGCGGCGAAGCTCAAATTTCCAAACTTTACCAAATTTCAACCAAACCAAAGCAAACACCTAACCAATACAACATACCATTTTCATTAAAGGCTAACAAATTAACCACAACAACATACAAACTCAATTGAAGCTAAAACAGTGAATCCTCTAAGTATTACAGCAAATCGTAAGTACGCACCTCAAGTGGGGTGTTACAATTTATAAAATAAAAGGGGAAGTATCCCTAGATGTAAAAGATAAGTGATGTGTTACCAAATATGTTCAAATAAAGGTCAAATAACACATTTAGAATGAAATGGATCATTCCTTACTGAGCGATTAACGCTCACCCTTTTATTGTTGATTGCTTTACAGGTAGACCAGAAGCGAAGAATGCTAGAGACAGCGGGGCTACACGTGAGGGGAGATGATTTATTGTCATCTCGATGTTTTTATCTTGATGTAAATAATGTAAATGATAAATATTTGTGAAACACCTTTTGGAATATTCCCTATGAATATGTTTCGAATGTGTATTTTATGGATAAATTCTTAAAGTTTTGAAATTATATGTTTGGATCCTGCATGACATTTTATATGCCTGTATTGGATATTACTATTATTATCCTTACATAGATATTTTTTCTAAATACAACTCGTTTTCCAGACATGTATCCTTGAGATTCTCATTGAGGGATATTCAGAGAATACTTGACTGGAGGGGAGTTTTACAGCTGTCGAGCCAATCAGTGAATGGAACATTCGATCTATTGTGTGACTGCTAGTTGAGGACATGGTTGTAACTCAATTCTGGGTGCCTGAAAAAAGAAGTGAACATGTGTTAAAGCTTGAACAACTTGGTGACCATTCCACATTCGCTTCTACCTCAGGCGCCCAAAATAGCTCGCGTAACACAATGAAGTCATGCGACCTACCCAAGACACCGGTGGCCATTGGGATTAAACCCCTTTAAAACCCAAGACCGCTAGAAATGCACCCCAAAAACCCTACTAAAACCTTAAAACATCCAATGTGGCCACTACAATGGCCACCCTTTAGCACAAAAGTCAAAAAAATTAGTAAAGAAGAGAAAGAAGTCTTACACGAATAAAGAAGAGTGTTAAAAACTCATAAGAAAGACCACCACGATGACGTAAGAGCAACGGCAAAGAAAAACAAGTGGGTGGAAGAACTTTCAGAGTGGCTATTCTGACGATATTCGCCACCTTTTGTAGTATTTTTTGCATGGAAGACGAAAAGGCAGAGTTCAATCTCAACCATCGACTTACAACTGATCCTAGACCTTTGTTCGTTGAGCAATCTCAGCCTTTAGACATGGCCATGTGTCAACCATCCATGAGGTGTGACAAACCATCGGATTTATTACAATGATAACCGTCGTCGCACGACGCCTCAACTTCGCAGGTGAACAGCTGTTATCACCCACGCGCAATGAAACATAACTGACCACCTAACTTTTTGTATTCTAAGTTTTAACAAGTGGCACAGGTAATAATGTCCAAGTGTGAAGAACGTCAACCAGACGTAAGCTTTGTCGTGGAACCTAATCAAGCATGCACTCAGAGACTCATTATTGAAGTCGAGCTTGGTGTTAAATCAAGCGGTACTCTTCGAAGCCCGAAACGAACATCGAACACTAGCGGGCAAGTGTTGTGTGTGGTTTCTCTGCCCAGCTCAGGCTAACGTGAGAATATAGCTCGACCTAGAATGATCCCAACAACTATGATTGATCGACTCAGCATAAGCTCGTTGAATCGTAGCTCGACCCAGCGCAAGCTAGTCACGGATAGTCTGAGGAATTAATCAATCAACCCCAGATTACTTCAGATCTCAGATATCACGGGAACGACTGGATCAACAATTGTCGTTGCACGATTATAGCGCCCAATCTCAAGGATATCGGAATTATAATTCAAATCATTTGTAATCCCCTTAATTTCACTCTTTCCTTTATGTAAATCTTGTATATAAACCCCCTAAAATGATGAGGAGGGGGATACAAATTCTAGATAAAAACTACATTGTAAGCTCTCACAACATATACAAAAAACATAATGGACGTAGGTTGTTAACTTCGCCGAACCACTTTAAAAGCTCTCTTTGTCATTTACTTTCTGGCGTTATCATTCACTCATCGCTGATTACCCGTAATCACGCAACATCAGTTCCGATCCCGACAAAGTCGATCGGATCTTGCTGGTTGGTGCAGAATTCTGTATCAACAAAACTAAATTCAGAAATTATAGCTAATGCAATTTGCCCAAATCTAGGTAGTCTTCTAAGGACTATCCGTATTACTCTTTATCATCAGACAAAGAAAAAAACATACCTTGAACTTACGAAATCGGGAACTATAAGCCTATAAAGGAGAAAATGAAGCTTTTGAGAGAACCCACTTCAAAGAAGAAGCTAATAATCTTTGAAACTCCCTTTGTCTCTCTTTAAACAAATTATAACTTAAACTTCGAAAGAATGAAAAACAAGTTCACCAGTTGCAATCGAGTGTCGAGACCAGAGACGATGCTTAACTAGTCGAGCGTCGGAATGGGGAAATGTAGTTAAGGTGTGTTTGGTTAGGGCTTTGGAAAGATAACTCTCGTAATCTATCTTTAATTTTGGACATTCCCTTGCTTGCTTGTTAAGTAATAAAAGATTTCGATAATCTTTTAATACCAATAGTGAGTATTGTGGGTTAAATAAGGGGTAATCAGATTACCTCCTCAAGAGGTGGTATTTAAAGATTACCAGGATAATCTTAATTTTATACCCATTTTTCCTTTAATTAAATACCATTCTAGACACAATTTCCCTCAAATATCTACCAAAGAACAATCACACAGACCCCCTACATTTTAGAATTTACCTAAAACACCCTAGCCACAAAAAGTTTAAAAGTTAACAAAATACCCCTAGCCACCATCGCCCACCACCGGTAGCGATTGACGCACGACCAACGGGATTTGGCTAGTCGTGAGCCGATGTGGCTGTTTTCAGCCAAATTGAAGGCCGAAAAAGGCCAGATTGTCGTGGATCTGACCGAAAATGACCAAAATAGATCAGCCATTTGTGGCTGTTTCTTATTAGATCCACAACGATCTAGTTGTTTTCGGCCTTTGATCTAACCAAAAACAGCTAGATCATCGTGGATATGGCTGGAAACTGCCACTAATCTAACTAAACATATTGATATAACATTCCCCCGCAATCTTTAAGGTAGTCTATCTTGATGGTAATCTTACCTTTTCAGTAATAAAACATTCTCCGAATTAAACGCACCCTTAGGGTTGTGTCGTGTTTAGTTGTGTGTTGTGTGGGCAAAAAATGGGTTTATATATGAAGATAATTCTCTAATTATTTAAACATATCAAGGGTAGTTAGGTAATTTATTGGATTTGGAGAAATTTTGTAATTATTTAAATAAATCAAGAACAAAAAAATCTTTAACCACAAGTTATTTAAATAAATTTTAAATCAATGCTCTAACATTTTATCTATCAATACTATAACATATATGTAATTTAGGCGTAAGGCCTGCGCATTGTGCAAGTAGGTTTATTGCTTGCATTTTAAGTATTGTTGTCTGTATATAATATAATGTTGTTTATGAAAGTAGCTTTCATACCATGTTTGCTTGAAAATTTTGGATGTTTCAATTGGTTGATATCTATTGCCAAGTTATAGGCATTATGTTGGAAGAAAACGATCCATTGAATCTCCTAATTGTATCATTTACATATTGCGCAATATATGGACATAATTAAGAGATTATATAATATAAAGAGTATTTAAAACTAACAAAAATAATAGATTAGAAACTATATATTTGTGATAGTATTTTTGTGAATAAGAACGGTTTGTATTGAAGTTAATTTAATGTTGAATAAAGCAACAAATAATAAAGAAATTAAGAATAACAATTTGATATAAATATTACATGTGTGAAATATGTATGTGAATAATTACATAGGATTCAATGTATACCAATTTAATCCAAATAATGTCTCATTTGGATTGAGGGATTTTAAAATCCATGGATTTTTTACAATCCATGGATTCAATATATGTATTTGATAAATTTTATTGTTTGATTTGAATATAAAATCCATGGATTGTTGATTCAAATTGTCATGCACTCATGTTTAGTTAGATGAATACAAGCCATAGATTAGATAAATAATTTCCAACTTCACCCTCAATATCCAAAACCAACAAAAATTCAACTTTCATCTAATTGAATACAAGTTAAATTATATTTGATAGAGAAGTCGAATTGTAATAAATGATTTTTTGTGATTTGGTTTAAAAAAAAAAAAAAATTCCAAATTAATATAATATATCATCAACTATCTTCATTCATGATAACTTCAATAATTGAATAATTTCATATAAATCTCAAGCATGTATGGCACAAGAAAGCTCATAGACAAAATTGTAAGATAGAACCAGAGTTTGTCCCCAATCTATATATTGTGGGATCCGTTGCTTTGCAAAATGACCAATATATATATGACAAGCTTGAGGGCTATTTGCAATGGTGTTATTGATTCAATATTTCATGAAAAACAAAAAGTCACAACTAATAAGTTCTTACCTAGATAACAAAAGGAATCATCATGAGAAATTGAAATAATAAAAAAAAACTCTTTGCAAATAAGAAATTGAAAATAATTAATTAAAGGAATGGAAACTCACAGGTAAATTATTTCTTTGGTATGCTCTGAAGATGTTGATGATGTAAAGGTGAAGAGCTAAAAAGAGAGAACGACAAATATATTTCTTTTAATTAGGGTAAAAGATAATTACTAGGTTATTAAATTATTAACAATGATAGTATTGGAAAATTAAAATATTAACAAAATCCCTCATTTTATTAAAACTGATGGATTTGGCAAAATTCCACCTGGTAGGTGGGATCTTAAAACCCTAAAAAATGAAAGATTTTGGGGGGTGGTAGATTTTCCAAAATTCATGGATTTCGGCTTTTTTATTTTGTAAACCAAACGAAGGATTTTATCAAATCCATGAATTTAATGAAATCATTCATTTAGAATCCCCTAATCCAAACGAGGCCTAAGTAATATTAAATATATGATTAATATGATTTTGTAATTAACCTGTTTTGACTCACAGTTGGAACAATATTAGTGTGCCAAACCACCAGTGCAACCAGTTATGTGCGAAAATAGGGTTAACACTTTTCTAGGATTCTTTTTTTTTTTTTTCGTTTATTTTAATGCTCCCTAATTCTCTTCATCAATTTCTCACTCTCAAAATCCAAACCTGCATTACAAAAAGCCGTTAAAACCACCAAAAAACTATATAAATCCGGGGCAAAACCTGTTGTTTCCAATAAATGAGAAAGCTCAAGTACTAAATTTTTATCTCCTCGTTATGCATAAACAGCCATCATAGCATTCCACACAACGATATTAATTCACTCAAATTCTCATTAAAAACCCTTCTTACATCAAACACAAGCCCAACTTTTATGTATCCATCAATTAGAGCTATTGATATGAAATTCGCACCAACCTAAGAGAACCAATTGACCTTGACGGAATCGGAGCTAATGCATGCATGATTAAAGATAAACCAGCAATTGAATATAAAGAATGCAATAATGTAAAGAGCACAAAAGGGTTTTTAATGTGGTTTGGCAAGTTAGAACTTAAGCCTACGTCTATTGTTATCTTATTACTTTTGAGGGCTTACAAGAACAATGTAATATGCTTGAATAAATTTGCTAACCCTTTTCTCATCGTTTTAGAGGTTTTTATACAAGTTTGTAATTAATGGAGAGAGATAAGTTCGAGATTGCAATCAGAGTCGATTTGTAATCCCGTGATCTTCGTGATCGTGCGCTGCTAATGGAGTTGATCTTATCCCTTCCGAAATATCTGGGATTGGAGTTTATCTTTGATTTGTTGAGCAGCTGTTTGGATTGATCGTTGTGGCAAGCTTAACCTGGTTCGAGCTTACTTTGAGTCGAACTAATTCTGGGTCGAGCTTGTTCTAGGTNATAGGAAACAAAATTGTCTATTGTAAATTACCTCCCAGGTTCCCCTCCCCCCAAATTTCTGTTATTGTATTTGTGGAAATCCTTGCAGAACCTTTAACTTTTTGACATTTTGTATTCTTTCTATCCCAAATTTGATGTGAACAGGTTGAGGACCCAGATTTAAACCATGTGAGCCATTTGCTAGTTGATGAAATTCATGAAAGAGGAATGAATGAAGACTTTTTGTTAATAATTTTGTGTGACCTTCTTCCCCGGCGTCCAGATCTCCGTCTCATCCTGATTAGTGCTACCATTAATGCTGACTTGTTCTCCAAATATTTTGGAAATGCCCCAACTATACACATTCCGGTATAATAATCATTTCAATTTTATTGAAGCGGAACTTGTATTTATGAACTTTTTGAATGCATGTACCTTACTTGCATATCAAACTCATTATTATTGTCATTATAGTTATTGCTATATTTACTTTTTATTCATTTATATTTAAATGTATTGGCAGGGATTGACTTTTCCTGTGGCAGATTTATTTCTAGAAGATGTTTTGCAGAAAACCCATTACAACATAAAGTCAGAGTTTGACAGCTTCCAGGGAAACTCAAGAAGAAAAAGGAGAGAGCAAGATTCAAAGAAAGATCATTTAACTGCTTTATTTGAGGCATGTTTAGAACTATGAATCTAACCAACCTAATTTACATTTGCTTGAGTAAATTCTGAAAAGGTTTTATGATGATCGCCAGTTATCGAATTTTACTTCATGTCATTTTTTGTTGATATACTTTTCTGAACTAATCCTTACTAAATATAGCATATGCATATAGGGACAATTTTGAAGAAAACAGGGGTCCCTGATTCCTTCATCTGGATTGATCTTTAATTTAATTATTTTCAGCCAATAGGAGAGACAAAATGATCTCACTCTGCAGGAAATATTGAAACATATTATGTGCCTGCTAACCAATGGCTATTATTGAAAATGATGGTTAGTATTTTGTTGGGTTTCCTGCAGCTTCATGCTTAGCTGCTTGGTAGTTAGAAATGCAGATGTTTGCATGAATCTGGGTTTGACACATCTATATTTCTTCAGGAGTATAGGTTCAAATATCCATACACTTTCTCATGTAGCTGCGCTTTTTGTAGGTCAACTTTGATGTAAATAGAGTTTTGCTTATTTTAATTCACTGACTTAGGTCTGGAAACATGCAGAATTTTTTACAGAATTCATAATCTAAAATACTTTTGTACTTGTTTGGACCTTTCTTGTAAATGACATTCTGTAGTTTATGGCTTTTTGCTAATTTTAATTGTTGATACTGTGTAAGGATGGTTTCAAAGATCATGTGGCTTCCCTCTCAAATTTGTTGCTGAATCTTTATATTGATGCCTAGGTTTTTATCTTGTAGGTGCAGATGTAATGCTTTCTTAGTGAACAGACAAAATATGCATTTTTCCTCAACATTCGCTTTGCAGCTAAGAAGTCGTTCTCTGATTACATTAAATACTTATTTCAAACAACTGCTTTGTTTATGTAGGATGTTGATATTGATTCTACCTATAAAAATTACAGTGCATCTACTCGAGCATCTCTTGAAGCTTGGTCAGGTTCACAGCTTGATTTGGGTTTGGTATGTACTTTGATCTGAGAAATGTCTACTGTGGTAATTGACTTGCTTAATTGCCATTATGAAACTTTATGGTGTTGAGGAAATGTGCCTAGAATATGCAACTCTCTGATGATGTTTTAGTGGTTGCTTGCTTACTAAAGTATTTTGCTCCTTTTGATGGTTAATGTTGCAAGGCAGCATCTTATTCTGAAATATTGCAATTTATTTCCACTACTTTTTTTTTTTCACTGTGTCTTGTATTTATAAGAACAGGAATTTTCTTCTTACTTCCTGTATTGTTGATTACTATTGACTATTGTTTCCTGCACCTCCACTCAACTGAGAGTCTGTATAACCATATACCTTTTGTTGAACATTATTTTTAGGTGGAGTCAACAGTTGAATATATCTGTCGCCATGAAGGTGATGGAGCAATTCTTGTATTCCTCTCGGGTTGGGATGAGATTTGTAAGCTACTTGACAAGATTAAAGTAAACAGATTTCTTGGAGATCCGAGCAAGTTTCTAGTCCTTCCTGTACATGGTTCAATGCCAACCATCAATCAACGTGAAATATTTGACCGTCCGCCCCCTAACAAGAGGTTAATACCTTGATGTTAATTCTGTTACTCTAGTGGCATTTAATATATGTATATAGTCCTCTCCTCAACTCATGTATGCAGGAGTTAATTATCATATGTAAAGAGTTTATTTTTGTGTATGAGAGTTGATGGAAGTTCTAATAATTTTGACTTTTAGTGAGCTCAGTTGGCACAACATGACAGTTACCTGAAACTCTGATCAGTTCTTCCATAGAGTTAACTCATGCATGCATAAGTTTAAGTCCAGATTTCTAGTTTCCATTTTTTATTTGCACTTTGAGAATATGATTCTGCTGATAATCACATCCTGTTTTCAAAATTTTGAATGATTTCTTCTGCCCTGTGTGATATTTTGTTAGTACAGGACCGGGGTTGTTAATTTCTTAGTTATTAATGGTGTGCCAGTGAGAATATTCATATGTGGACTTTACAGACATATGATTGTGCCACTCACTGTTTGGAATTACTCACTTTAATAAATACCTGACTAACTTTGCTATCATAATTTAGATTTCATTGCACTTCCATATTGGTCAGTATAAATTCATACGAATTCCTTATTTTCTGCAACCCGACTTTGTGAAGAATGGGGTTTGTGATTTTTGAAAACTATTGGAATGGAAAATTCACATCGAGATAACCTTGTTCCCCATGCCAATATGGCCTTTGTGCTTACAATATTTTGCTATGCTATGATGTTGCCATTCTTTTTTTAATTAATGTGTACGAAACTGAGAAGATATATTAAAAAACCTATAAGAAGAATTTTATATAGAATTCCTTGAAGATTTAGGTCCATTCTTTTTGGTTCTTTAATATAATGTGTCATTGATCATCATGAACTTGCTGGAGAACACAAGCTTGTAGATGGGTTACCGCATTTACTTGTCAGTTGTTAACTCTTATTGGTTAAATAGGTTTCCTAGGGTGAGATCAGATTCTATTATCATGTTTGTTTTGCACTTTCTGTGCAATGAATATCATTAAATTGGAAAAGATTGTTTGTCTGTTACTTTGGCATAGCAGTCCAGCTGGATTTTACTAATCTATTGGCTATCAGCTTGTCACTTTTTGTGTTATTTGTTTGTTGAAAACATTTCTCTTTTTGTGCTCCTTTATCGTGAAATGTCAGTCAGATGTTGTAGGCCTCTCATAGTTATAATCATTTAAAGCACCTTTAATCTCGTCACCTTAATTTTTTGGTACTTTTTTGTTTTTTCTAATTTTTATTTTCTCTGTGTCTTTGTAGAAAAATTGTTCTGGCGACAAATATTGCAGAGAGTAGTATCACCATAGATGATGTTGTGTATGTTGTAGACTGTGGAAAGGCAAAGGAAACCAGCTATGATGCTCTAAACAAGTTGGCTTGCCTGTTGCCATCATGGATTTCAAAGGCTTCAGCACGTCAGGTATTTACTTGGTACCATGGCAGTGACATGGGAATTTAAGGTTCTCTCTTCATTTTAGCTGTTGTTGCTAAGTCTATCTCTTACTGAAAAGCTCTGTGTGTTTTTATGGTGAGAAATTTCAGAGAAGAGGTCGTGCTGGCCGTGTTCAACCTGGGGTTTGTTATAAATTGTATCCAAGAATAATCCACGATTCAATGCTTGAATATCAGCTGCCTGAAATTCTTCGTACACCTTTGCAAGAGCTGTGCCTCCATATCAAAAGCTTGCAGCTTGGAACTGTTGGGTCTTTTTTGGCAAAGGCACTTCAGCCTCCAGATGCCCTGTCTGTTCAAAATGCAATTGAACTTCTTAAAACAATTGGAGCTTTAGATGATATGGAAGACCTTACTCCACTTGGTATGTAGCATGATATTTGTCTTCTTTCTCTATTGTTAATTTGCCATAGTTGATTTACTGTAATCCTAATTAATGCCTTGTAGGACGCCATCTCTGCACACTGCCTGTGGATCCAAATATCGGAAAGATGCTTCTAATGGGAGCCATCTTTCAATGCCTCAATCCCGCTTTAACAATTGCGGCTGCCCTTGCACACCGTGATCCATTTGTCCTTCCAATAAATAGGAAAGAGGAAGCTGATGCAGCAAAAAGATCATTTGCCGGTGATTCTTGCAGGTGAGCTGTTGAGCTCAGCCATCCTACTCTTAGGCTTTTGCAGATTTTTCCCCCAAAATGGTTCATTTTGTTGGTGTATGGAAAATCTAAATATCTTTTTTTTCTTTTTTCTTTTTTTAATAATTCAGTGACCACATAGCACTTCTCAAAGCATTTGAAGGTTATAAGGATGCAAAATGCAATAGAAGGGAAAGAGATTTCTGTTGGGAAAATTATCTATCTCCAGTAACCTTGCAGATGATGGAGGATATGAGAAACCAGTTTCTGGATCTACTATCAGATATAGGCTTTGTGAACAAATCCAAGGGTGCTAATGTGAGCTCTCATTTTTTCAAGTTCAATAGCAAGCTTTCTTTTCTCTCTCCCTCTCATCTTTCCTTTTAGGAGGTGGTTAATTGACTGTTGTTTTATTAATATGCATGATTAATCTTTAGATTTTTGCTATTACATAGTGGTTGTATTTTTACCATGGTCTTCTATTCCCATCTTCTGAGGTTGTGTTACATGATTCATATGCATCTGAAGTTGATGTTGGAGGAGTACTAGACTCATATATGTGCATGTGTCATGTAGGCTTACAACCAGTATAGCCATGATTTGGAGATGGTATGTGCAATCTTGTGTGCTGGGCTCTACCCAAATGTTGTACAATGCAAAAGAAGAGGAAAGCGTACGGCATTCTACACAAAAGAAGTTGGGAAAGTGGACATCCATCCCGCTTCCGTTAATGCTGGGATTCATACTTTCCCTCTGCCTTACATGGTTTACAGTGAAAAGGTGAAGACAACTAGTATCTTTATCCGAGATTCGACAAACATATCAGAATATGCTTTGTTACTATTTGGTGGCAATCTCATTCCAAGCAAAACTGGGGAGGGTATTGAAATGCTTGGTGGTTACCTTCATTTCTCTGCATCAAAGAGTGTGTTAGAGTTGATACGGGTAATTGCTTCTTTAGTCTTTTTAATATGTATGTTCTTTTAGGAAATTGTGTATAGAAGTGTGTTTTTTTAATTAAAAAAAAACACCCTCATCTAAAGAATGCATGTATAATTTGGTCATCTTTTAATTGGTCGGACAAAAATACTCTTTTTTGTTAATAACACACTTTATCTCATGTTATTATGATGCTTAACAGCTGCATGATGAACTTCAAACTAATTTCTACTTATATTGGATTTTTCTTGACATGCTAAGATTTTAATGCAATGGGTTTTTAGTAAATCTTAGTTAAAACAACATTACAAAGAATTTTGCGGTTGATCATGTTAATGAATTTTGCAGAAATTGCGAGGGGAGCTTGACAAGCTTTTGAATAGGAAGATTGAGGAACCAGGGTTCGACCTTTCTGTGGAGGGAAAGGGAGTGGTTTCTGCTGTGGTTGAGTTACTGCATAGTCAAAATGTACACTACTAATCTTCTATGTTTTTTCGGGACCAACAACCAACAACCATAAGATAATAGGAATCTTGCTATTCTTTTTCCCCCAAATATAGTAATCTAAATTTTGAAGATTTGCTTATTATTTTTTCCCCTCTTTTGGTAGAAATCAATTTATAAGTTGGGTGAATGTATTATTAAATGACACTTCTAGATATCTCAGGGTTAGCAATGATATGGAAGAACTCGTTAGATTTTGCAACCTGTGAAGATTTTGTTTAGACAGTAAAGTAAAATTCTCGCCATCTTCTCTTTTTTGATAACATTGCTGTCTCTTTTTGTGCCATTTTCTTTATCTCATCTCATCTCTCTTCCGCATACATGCACTGCTTTGCTGGTGAAATAGATTTTTCTTGTGCTTAGATAATTTGTGCTTGTAATTATCATCTTATCCCCAGGGCGATGTTACTATACATGGTCTATTGTATTACGAATAATTTTTCTGTAATATAAATGTCGCACTTATAATAATTTGAACTTGTAACAGAATATTGTTCGTAGTATAATTTCTCAAAACACCACCTATTTTATCTGCTGCTAATACTAACATGACAGATTAGAATCATGCTTCTGATGAGTCATCTGAATCTGGAGACAGTGGCCTTGGAACAAATGCAGGATCATGCAACTCCTGAGGAAGCTCTGGCAGTGTTGCTTCAAAATTGAGAAGTTGAATTACTTGTCCTGCAGATGGCCTCTCCATGTCGACTGGGTGTGTGCACCATAATCCCACAATTAGTAAGCATTCCAATTCTCTGCTCTCAAACTTCATTTCTAGTCTCGTATCTGCTGCTTGGATAATGTTTCCTGCTTTATAGAGTTCCCAAACTGACTTTATCAATGGCTCCCTGTCTGCTCGCCTCCCGCATGCAATTTCTAAACTTACAATTCCAAAACTAAACATGTCTGATTCCTTAGTGGCGCGGCCATCTCTTAGATATTCAGGGGCCAAGTAGCCGACTGTCCCCACTACGTTGGTTGCTTGATTTTGTGACCAAGAATTCACAACCTTTGCCACCCCAAAGTCACCCAGCTTGGTACTGAAATCCGTGTTCAGTAATACATTTGCTGATTTTATATCCCTATGCAGAACATATGGCTCGGCCTCTTCATGGAGATATCGTAGGGCTGAAGGCAAGCCTAATGCTATTTTGTATCTGATACTCCATGGCAGAGGTTTTTGATTACCAAATGGATGATAATCAAGGCTGCCATTTTGCATATACTCATACACAAGTAGAAGCTCATCTTTTTCATGACACCACCCCATTAATTGCACCAGATTTCGGTGTTTTAATCGACTGATAATCTTCACTTCATTGACAAAAAGTGACTCATACAGTTCGGATTCAGCCAGTATTCTCTTTACAGCAACTAGGCCGCCTAACCTGCTCATGTTTCCCCTGTAGACTTGTCCAGAACTACCTTGACCCAACTGCTTGGTAATTGAGAAATTATCAGTGGCTGTTACGAGTTCTTGGTAACAAAATCTTTTCGGAAAGGCATCTTTTTCGAGATCTTCAATTATAGATATTCTTGATTCAATTTTGTCCACCTTTTGCTTTCTTTTCTCAATTGCAAATATCCCACCAATGAAAATCCCAACTGTCAAGAAGCAGAAGCAACATGCAGCAACGAGAATCCAAAATTTACCCCCTGTTTTCGCTCTCTCTTCCAGAGATGAGGAAAATTCCCATGAATTGATGGTATGTCGCTCGATATGCCCACCTGTGGATGCTGAAAACCCGATTACGACTCTCTCGGGGACAGCTTTCCTAAGATCAATCTGGTAAGAGAGAGAAGAGTTTGCATCAGAAGTTGGTTCTTCATCATATGACCAGAACACATTAAGTTTCTTAGAAGTGGCACTGTATGTAACCAAAACATTGGTTTTGTTCCCAATGTGTGAGAGATTATCCCATTCAGTATAGTTTGATGAAGATATTGAGTTGTTATTGATGCCAACATGCATCATATTCGGATCCCACTGGTTTACTTAGGAATCGAATTCAACTGTGACAAGTGTATATTGTGAGTAAGTTCTTGTTCCGTTATTGCTATATAATCCAAAACATCCTCCGGCAGAGTTGGGGGGAAGCGGATAATTAACAGAAGCAAGGAAGAAGGCAAGTCCACTGCCAGGACTGTGATGAAGAACCCGGTTGATGGTGAAGGAGAAGCGGGTTGTGAAGTTTGTGAGTAAACCTGTTGAAGATTCCCAGATAGGCACTGGGTACGCGTAAGAGGCACGACCAACACAACTCTGACGATCTACTTCATTGAGTTCAATGACTCCGCTTATAGGTTTTGCATCACCCTCATAGACAATGTTGCTGGCTCCAGGATCAAAGCTAGTGAAATTGAAGGAAATAGTATTTGCAGATGGAGCACGAAAAAGGAATAGAATGAACATGATATATAGAAAGTGAAAATGGCGTGATGCCATTAACGACATTCACAAAGTAATCTTGCGAACAAAGTTACACAAGTTTATGCAAGAATACTTAGAAGAGGTTATAGATTGTTCGAAAAGCAAAATGAAGAGAATTCAACGAGGAAAGGATGAATGATAATTAGCCTGATATGTTTAGCAGTAGTATATAGCACTTGCCAATGAGTAAGAAAAATTGTCCATATCAGTGATGGCTAAAAGGATGGAAAAGCATATAGAAATGGCTTGTAGCTGAGATTGGCGACTTCTACAAGACGAAGGACAAGCAATATGTCAAATAATAGATGGGTATATTTTTATATGATCTTCCTAAGATTCATCAACATCAAGTTGGTTCATTGGGAGTGTGAAAGTTGGAACATATACAGTCAATAACTTTGTTCTAAGTTCTATGCATAGATATTTAAAACACAATCCAGCGGGGCCGGATTTTGGCTTTTTGTTTGTTTTTGTTTCTCTGGCTCTTCAAATCTTGATTTTCTCACTTGCAGTTTACAATTTTGGAGTATTGTTACTGTTACTGTTATTTTACCTTTCTCGTGGATTTTAGAGTTGCGTTAGTAGTCTGGGTACTCATTCATCAACTCTTGCATATTCAGAGTTTGATATTTAATGGTAGTGGCCGCAATCCAAAATCATTCTTGGCTTCTTGCCTCGGAGAAGCTTTAAAATGGTGCTTCAAGCTTTGAAAAACTAAACTACTTGTCATGAGGAAGGCCTCCTATTGTCAACTAGGGAGTCTCTGCCTACCTGGCCATTCAGCACAACTTTGAGACTAGACCCATGTTAATTGGAAAATATATCACAGATTATCTCTGCAGTTTACGAAATTATTAATCGGCTGATAATATTTGCATTTTTTTATTAAATGGACTCAGATTTTATTGTAACTCTCGTTGTGTTGATATTGTTAGAGTATTTATTTTAGAGACCATATTTTATATAAATAAAGAATATTTTTATTAATTTTTAATTATTAAAAATAAATTTTTTATTTAAATCTAATAGATTCTTTAAATTTTAGAAAAGAAAATATGTTTTTTAATAAAAAAACTTAATAGAAGAGATAAATAACAAATAAAATATATAAAAATCAATGTTTTAAAAACCGACTTCATCAGTGATCCGAACAAATAATCAAGTTTCAGGTTGACTGATTGAATCGATTCAACCGACGAGTCACACCTATGACATCATTTTCTTGATCCCATCACCCCATCAATGTTTTATGTCTACTTCTCCTTCTTTATCTCATTAGCTCATGAATCTCTCACCTAAAGTGTCCACCAACAAACAACTTTTTATTGTTTTTTTCATTAAATGCAATACAGTACACTCTTCATCTTTTTCAGGGACATTTAATATTTGTTTTTATTTTCAATGAAAGCTTATTAAATGCAATATAAGTACACCTTCTTCATTTATTAAATTAAATTATTTATTTTCAAACTCTTTTACCTTAAGGTTGCAGGAACGAACAAGAGTAGAGAGAGAAAGCTTAAACTTCTTTCTCCAACTCTCTTTGTTGTTCTTTTCTCTTTCATTTCTTATGTTCTAATTATTAAAGCTCTTCCGGATTCTTCAGCTTTCCTCTAATCAAAAGGTGCATGCCTTCTACACCAAAACACACAAACACATTCACTCTTTCTTTTTGACAAAATCCTCATTTTCTTCTCTTTTATTAGCTGTGTGCCGCCACTATTATATACACCTCCACCATTCTCCACCACCGCAGCAGCAACGGCCTAGGGTTTCAACTCCTCTCACTTGTTTTTTCTCCCATTCTTCGAGTTGGATTCTCTCTTCTTCTAGTGGCTTCATTGATTAGTGTTGGAAATAACATAGAATAACATATATCCTAAAGTAATCCCAAGATCATAGTCACCCATTGCAATCATATTTGTATATAAACGAACTACAATGAATTTACACAGCATAAATACCTCTTCTCGTTATCTCTGAAGCCAAAAATTGAATCTAGAAGAAAACCACGAAGAGTATTTTTCTTTTCCAATTTTAGAGAGAGAGAGCGTATTTTTCCTTTTGCGTATTTTTGAGTAACAGTGAGTAACCCTTACTAAAAGGAAAAACTTTCTTTTTATATGGGAGCGGTTCGTGAGAAACTACCTTTGGCAGTTTCCACTTCTCACGCCCCTTCATCAGGGGTGTACTTATCCAATATCTCCCACTCACACATGACGGGACTATCTCTCTCTGTGCTTCTTTAAGGTTTATACTTTAGTAAATATGCCGTGTGACCATGTATACTTCTAGAGCACGTTAATCATATATCTGTTAGGAATATATAACTTCTCGAATTATGAAACTCAGGTTGTATGTTGTATGCAATACCCTAGATTACTTATCACATTTTTCTAACAATCTCATTTATAATAAATATCCGTTGTATTCATAATTATGTTTTATCTTTACATAAAAGTAAAACATAATTGGTCGACCAATGAATACACGTGATTATAGCGTGATAATTCAAAATCGTAATATTCATTTTTTCTCGATTCTTGCAACTTTCATTTAACTTGCTTTTCTAGAAATGTCCCAGCAGATTGAATTTATCTTAATCCTTTGGGTAACACCTAAGATAGCAATCATCAAATAAGTTTTCAAGAAACCGAATAGAGTAATAAGGGTATTCTATGAGATTTTATTCTTAAAAAAACTCAGGGTCTCACACATGTTAAAGTTGAGATTTTGACTTTCATTCCCCTTGGTCAATGTTTTGCCCATTGGGATGAAATCACATGCTACACATTTCCTCATTTCCCATGGATTGCATGTCTCTTTTCTTGTAAATGCTGTACAGATTTCAGTTCAGACATACCTAATGTCTAACTTGAGTTCACTTTACATACTTTTAATTCATCAGAACTCAATCTGGCAATTAGACAGTAAAGTGATCATTTATCACTTATGGTCACATTTCATTATGACATTATTTTAATTCTATTTTTAGGCGACGTTAAATTTTTAAGTTTGGCTCTCTATCTCACCTAGATAATAAGCTTAAAATCGTCTCATCTCCATTCCTACGAAGTAATGGAGGCGATTACTTGTGTGAGAAGTCAATCTTTTAACTGTCTGACATGCTTTTCAAATAGACATATATATAATATTTACATAACTAATATGTATATATTATTATATATATATATCCACTTCTTCATGTATGTTCTATAATAATCTAAATTGAGCATTGACAATATTGTTATTTATATTGATAAACAAATGTAACAATTTTGGGAAATCAGAAAGTATGAGTATATTCAACACCTACTTAAGCCTGAGGATCTAACATGTCTATTGAAAGTATCTCTTGGTATAGGCTTGTGAATGGATCCGCAACCATGTCATGCGTAGATATGTACTTCATGTTCACCTCCTTTGTGCCACCAAGTCTCGCACAAAATTATATTTGATATCTATGTGTTTCGTTTTACCATGATATTTGATCCTTAGTGTTGCTATTGCTGCTTGACTATCACAGTTTATTCTTCTGGTTCAATAGCAGCATTAATTATTCCCAGATGATTCATGAACCGTCTCAACTAAACGGCTTCTTGCATTGCAGCTGAAAATGCTACAACTCAGCCTCACATTGTAGATAAGGCTATACATGATTGTTTCTTACTACTCCAGATAGGGCCCCACCATTTAGTGAGAAAACATATCTGGAAGTAGATTTCCTTTCATCTAAATGTCCTCCCCAATCAGCATCGGTGTAGCTTCTCATGTGTAAATCATTTCCTTGGTAACATAATGAGTAATCAATTGTCCCTTTTAGATATCTTAAGATTCTCTTCACTGTTTTCTAATGTCTTGTCCTGGGTTGGACTAGAATCTACTACCAATCAATGGCATAACAGATGTCAGCTCTAGTGCACATCATGGCGTACTGAGACTTCCACAACACTTGTATAAAGAACATTCTTCATTTGTTCCTTTTCTTGTGGAGTCTTCGGACACATTTTACGACTTAAAGTCTCGCCTTTCGCGATAAGTTGTCTATGGGTTTACAATCTTGCATATGAAATCGTTCAAGAATTTTCTTAATGTATGGTTCTTGTGAAGAGATACTAATTTTCTTGACGATCTCTTGAAATCTTGACTTCAAGAATATATGCAGCTTCACCTATAATCTTGATCCTCATTTGATTTCATTGACAAATCCCTTATTATTTTCAACTTAGTAATATCATCAACATATAATGATACATAACAAATTTTTTATTGGATCTCTTTTTATATACATAGTGATATTCATCTATCATTTTGAAATCATACACATTATCCATTATGAAATCGAATATACCACTGTCTAGAGGACTACTTGAGGCCATAAATTGACTTTAAAGTCTACACACTTTATGTTCTTGACCTCTCTAATATAACCTATTGTTGTGGTCCATATAGATTTCTTCTTGTAATTCCTATTGAGAAAAGTAGTCTTTACATCCATTTGATGCAATTCAAGATCCATGCTAGCAACTATAGCTAGAATAGTCGAACTGAGGTAAACCGCACAATAGGTGAAAAAGTTTCTTCATAATCTATTCCTTCTTGTTGTGTATACCCCTTCGCGACTAAGCGAGCTTTGTATCTTTCAATACTGCCATCAGATTTACGCTTGATTTTGAGAACTCACTTGTTCCCAATGGCTTTGCGTCCTTTTGGTAAATCAACCAATTCCCATACTTGTTTGATTTCATAGACTCTAATTCTTCTTCCATTACTTTCATCCATTTTTCTTAGAAGGCAATTGAAAGCCTCATTTACATTCCTTGGCTCTTCGTCATCTATATGAGTAACAGAAATTTCCCCCTCAATCTCAAATTGTCGACGTGGAACTTGTTTCCTGTTTGATCGACGTTTGGAGATTGATTGGTTTTACTCCCACTTGGACCCACTAGCATATTGGATCGCCAGTAGGGAATGATGAGGATTTGAAACTGATTCATCAACTTCCATTGCTCCCA